CTGTCTAACAAGATTTCACTGACTATCCCTTCCTGCAAAGAAAGCCATTCTCATAAGGGGCACCTGCTCCTTACTTCACACTATTTATCTCCACTGCTTTTAAAAAGCCACCTGCATGTATATGACACTAATATCAATCTCCGCTGCATGAGTGTGATATTCATTTCTGAACACTGCCCATAATACATGTGTGGATGTGTATATGTCAAAGTTGCCTGATTGATGAACATTGGAATTATATCTGTTTTTAGTTCTAACGATGTTATAAAAATCCATTTGTCAAAAATAAGCTTTTGAAAGAAAAGTTTATTCCAGTGGACCGAGACTAAAATCAGGAGATTCTAGCAGGTAGTTGAGAAAAGCTGAGTTTATCACATCCATGTGTGGATGAGCTGATGTTGGGAGAGAGATAGCAGCAGCTAGCTGGGAGAGATTTCATCCATGAGTGGATGGGCTAACACCAGGAGAGAGAGATATTAGCAACTAACTGAGAAAGGAATTAGTCTTAAATAGGTATTGAGGGGCCTAAGGAATCTGGGGTGAAATATTTATGACTTGGATGCCCAAGTACAGGATGGCCCGCTCAGGTGTGTAGACAATTACTGGACTTCTCAGCACCAGAGGGCTTGTATACTTCATTTTGAGTTCATTTGCCCTATTTACTGAGAGGCTGTTGTTGTTTGCTAAAAGCAGCCTGTTTGCTTTAGCTCCTGTTGGTTTAGGCCAGGCCTGACAAGTGAGTGTAATAGAACTTTGGATAAAATTTGTACAGAAATTGATATTTCTATAGGTATACTACTTGATGATCATGGTTGTAATTCCCCTAGTTTTAACCTGCTGGTTTCCTGAGGACAGAGACTGATTCTGTTCTTGCTCATTGCTATCCAGGTTTGGATGTGGTTTGTTGCCTAGTGGTTCATATTTTAGAAACTTGCTCCCTGTATAAGGTGTTGAAGTGCAGCAGACCTTTAAGGGGAAGGCCCTAGAAGAAAATAATTAGATCGCAAGGGCTCCATCTGCCTGAATGGATTAATGCTGGTCTCCCTGAGGGTGTTGTCTCTGGTAAGAGGGTCACTTCCCAAAAAAGTGGGCTGAAATTGAGAGTGAGCCTTGGCTAGTCTCTCTCTATTGCTGCTGCTGCTGCTGCTGCTGCTGCTTCTTCTTCTTCTTCTTCTTCTTCTTCTTCTTCTTCTTCTTCTTCTCCTCCTCCTCCTCCTCCTTCTTCTTCTTCTTCTCTTTCTCCTTTTCCTGCTTCTTTTTTCCAATACAGAAAATTAAAACCAAGGTCTTCCTTGTCCTATTTTATTTTTGGTTTTTGTTTTTTGTTTTAGACAAGGTCTTGCTAAGTTACTAAGATTCCCAGTCTGGGTTCCAACTTGCAGTCCTCCTTCCTCAGCCTCCAAGAGTACTGTAGTACAGGTGTGTCACCTACACTTTCCTCTTGCTTCCTTGCTTGCACACGTGCCCCTTCTGCACCTAGAAGTTTCACTTTTCTAACATGCTGTGACCCAGCTGTGGACACTCAGCAGAATGCTGGGGCTATGCTATTTGGAATCTTTAGCAACCAGAATCATGAGTCAAATATCCTCTTTTCTTTATGAGTTACCTAGCCCAGGTAGTATGTGATAGCAACAGAAGACAGAAAACAAGGATACTCACCAATGTATTCCCAGCACAGTGCTCATCATAGAGTAGACAATCAACAAATAGTCATTGATTTAGCACTGACACCCAATTGTGTTTCCATGGCAGTGTGAGTTGATGCCATTGTGCACCAGGGGCCATGTCCTGTGCACTGGCCTTGCAGGGACTTGGATCAGAAATGCTTCCTGTATGCTGCATTAGACCCAAACAAAAGCACCACAGTGGAGGATCAGCACAGAGAGGAAATGTCCTGTGGCTGAGATGAATGAGATGGGGCATCATCCCAGATATTCAAAACTCCATTTAACAAGAGAATGAGTTTGAATTTTACATGAGAATGGAAGCCAGAGTGTAAGCTAGAAAATCAGTGTCAAAAGCTAGGTCGTCTAACCAACAATACAATAAAAATAATAGTAACAGTTAAACAGTAAAGCAAGCCATTGTTATTGTCAGTAGTAACAGCAAGAGCAGTGTCCAGTTCAAAGGGCCACAGTCTAAGTTTGGATACAGGAAGGAATTGGAGTGCAGGATGATCTGGAATACAGTTCATTACTAGCAATGTGAGGCATCTGTGGAACATAAAGGCCCCTGACTTTTGCAGCGGTAGCTGTGTGATAAAAATGCAAGATTTCTGGGTATTAATTAGCATAAGTGCTTCAGCTTTCTGGAGATCTGCTTTCAGGTCTTGCCTCTGGTTTTCACTTGTGATTTGGATGTGTTCCTTAACATTTCTGACCTTCAGTTTCATCATCTGGAAAACAGCGACAGTAATATTTCTGCCTGTTTAGGGTCATTAGAAGAAATAAATAAGACAATACACGTGGTGAATGGTCTGACTTAGTGCTAACCTATCATGTGGTCTCAATAGCAAAAAAAATGGTAATGTGTCAGTACTAAAAATCAAGATCAAGAAAATGTCATATCAAAGTAGATTTTTAAAAAGGAAGATGTAATAGATGTCAAAATGGTTAGAAATAAATAAGGAGGCCAACATGTAAAATCAAGTAAATTGCCTTCATTTGTTTCTTTTTGTCCTTTGGGGGAAAGAAATCCCTTCTCTGCTTAGACTGAACTCGGTTCTACAGAAACACAAATTGAGTATGACTGGCCCATCTCAGCATTTTAAAAAGTGTACTCCAGAGACCTCTAGCTCCTTAAGGTGATCTTCAAAAGAAAACCCATGGTCCAAAAACAAGTTCAAAGAAAATATTGAAGGATCTGGGAAATCTTGTTCTCTGTCTGAATTACTTGATTATAGGACCTTTCTATGTTATCACAACTAGCATACCAATGAGGATACTTCACTAATTGCTTATCTTTCCTGCTCCTTTCCACTTTACAGATGAGGGAATTAGGCCAAAGAGGCCACTTATATTTTTTTTCCTAACTCTTGTTGTTTGAATTAAAAAGAAAGCATAGCTGTGAATAACTAAACACACATGAGAACAAAAAATGTACATCATGCAAAAAGATTCATTGAGGATTTATTGTGTTTGCTTAATAAACATCTATCCCTTTAGTCTCTAGTTCTTAAAGTTAGGCATGTATGTGCCATTGGAATGGAAAACCAAAAAGACATATTCCTAACCCATTCTATTTAGAATTTCAGAAATTTTTGTGTCAAGATTTAGATATATGTTGGAATACAGAAACAAGATTATTTTAAAGATTATTTTCCTAGCTACTTCATATAGTAAATCAAATTGATGGCACCCAAGGGGTTTGAATGTCAGAGGGTGTATTTTTCCAGAGCCTTGCTGTTCCCCACCAGAGGGTGGAGACAGCTGTTCTTTCCCTTAAAACTGAGGGAGAAATTACTGCTCTGACCAACAGATATGGTAATGTGACTTTGAAGTCACATTCTACGATGTGTCTCCCTCTCGGGCTGCTTGCTCATGGGATGAAACCCTCATATTTTATAGAAGCCCAGGTCACAAGGGGCACCAAACTATACACCCCTCTCCAAAATCTAGGCCTACAGCCGGCACTAATCACCAGGTACAGAAATGAGGAAACTTAGAGACCGGTCTCACCCCCAGTCTTCGAGGTTCTAGCATTGTTGAGCAGAAAGGGCCCAGCCCAGTTGTGACCCACTCAAGTCTGTGAAGCACATATCTTTGAGGAGGGAAAATGTTTAATGCCCTTCAATTTTGAAATTAGCCATAGTAACTAGAACAATGGGACATTTGAAAGGGAAATATAAAAGAAGGAAAACCAATTTTGAATCCCTACAATGTTCCCTTGGAGATATTTTTTCAAATTTTATACATACTGCTTCCTTCATATCAAGCACAAATACATAAAATAACAATGCACTCTCTCAAATTTTCATGTAAGAAAATCTATATATTTACTCTCCATTTGCCAATATTACTATAAATTCAGTGTCCAGTATAGATAGATAATATATCTATATTTATATCTATATCTAATGTCATAGTATCCAGCCAAGATTGGTACTTCACTGTGATTATACTGGAACCTATGGTATATATCTGATAGCAAGTACGGAGTGATCCAGTTTACTGTTATATTTCATAATGACTCTACGAGTACCCTAGACTTGTCTTAGCAATGTATACTTGCGAAGTATCTTATCATTACCTCTGCATTGTGTTCCAGGCACTTATCATGGATTTTTGTTTTTATGACATGAAAACTTGACAACAGATCTTATGTCTCCAGGGGTTTTACTATTGTCTGATTCAATCCATTCATTCAATCATCAGTTATTAAATGCATTTTTGTTTGTTGGATAACATGAAATACCTCTTATCCTGTTGGCACCATTCCATAAAAATCATCTGACTCATGCTAATTTCAGTGTGGTGCTAAACAGACTATGTTTCTCCTATAAGTCAAGCCAACACCCACAGAAGAAACAGTGACATTTTGGAACAGAAAATAGAAGACTGAATATGTCAACTTCTCATGCTGACTACCATGGCTTAAATATCAGAACTGCCTTTTACCTGCCATGATACCTGGAATAAGTTACTTCACTTAAGTGGTCCAGTCTTAAGTTCTTTTATCTATAAACTATGGGTAATAACTTTTCTCATAGACATGATGGTAGGATTCAATGAGACCATCTGTATAGTGGGCATGATTTAGATCATGATGCACTCAGTCCTCACTCAGGATGATGATGCCTGTGCCATTCCACACATTCGCACTACGTACTCAGTATTCCCAAGATGAGTCTTCAGTCTGATGTATCGTTCCCACATTTTGCACCCACCTATGACTTCATTCCTACATGTGGCTTCAATTCTCCAAGCTGCTCTTGGCTACAGGTACCCTTTGTGATGTCAGCTTCAATTTTCCACTGACCAGCTCTGCATGCGATTCCACAGGAGGCAAATGTTCTGGTTCTGGGCCACTTACTTACAAATACAGGAGGTTCATCAGATGGCAACTGCTTGGGTTTGGGCATATAAAGGCTGATGCAAAGTGAGATTGAATGCCATGGAGCATGAGGAAGAGAGAAGAGGGCTGAAAACCTCTTGATAGCAGATTTAGCTAGTAAAGCATTGAAGATCACAGAGAACAGAAAAAGATCTGCCTCTATTCAAAATTCAGATCTACTGGTTACTGGTAAGCTGTTTGGCCTTTCTATTTTTTGGTGTTCCTCAGTATAAGATGAGCATACCATCCACATGAGAACACTGCGAAGACTGAGTTAATGCCCACAAAGTGCTTAGCACACTGCCTGATACACTCCAAGCATTTCTATTGTTTAGATGTCTTTGATGCCTTGCCATACCACCTCGGGTCCTTAACCAGTCCCACAGAGGAATATTTGATGCCAACAGCAGACATCTATTCAGCTGCGGATTCAGCTGTGGCCATCTGGCAGCAGTGTCTGGGAAAGTTGGAGAGAGGTTGCTTCAGTGTGGGGATCAGTAGCATCTGCTTTTGGGAGAGAAGTTCTCCATGCCCCCCTGGCATGTGCTCCACTCATAAATTCTCCCAGAAATGGGGACGCAGCTGAGAGCCACCATTCGTGGAAACAGACTCCCTTCCTCTCTGCTCTATCTACATGGAGCTGGAGAACAGCACCGCTTGGCCTGGCATGCAGCTGCTAGCTTATAATGGCTTTCCCAGCAGAGGCCCCGCAGGCATCTCTGCCATAGGTCCTAGTGGAGAAAGAAGCCTACTGCTAAAAGATAGCCACAGGAAAGAAATCGCTATTTAAAGAGATTTAGGTAATGCAATTTGAATTTAAAAAAAAAACAAAACATTGAATGATGCCTGTGGTAAGCAGGATGGCTTCAGAAAAGTTTCCATGTCTCTGTCCCTGGAACCTTTGACTATGTTATATTAAATAATATGAAGATATTTTTGGATACAATGAAGATTACAGGGTTTAAAATAATAAGAGGAACCAGATGATCCAGGTGGCCTTAATGCAATTAGATAGGTCTTTGGAAGTAAAGGAGTTAGAAGATTTCTCCAGCTAGAGTTAGAGGATTTGGCAGAAAATGTCAAAAGACTCAGAGCACGAGTGGCACTTAACCCTCTGTTGCTGGAGTTGGCCATGTAGAAAGCATCAGAATGATTGTGGGATGCATGCAGAAACAAAGGTAAGCCAAAATGGATGGCACTAAAGAAAACAGAGACTTCAGCTGTACAAACACAAATAATTGAATCCAGTAGATAACCTGCAGGAGCTTGGAAATGAATTCTTCTCCAGAGCCCCTAGGTAAGAGCCCAGCTTAACCAATACTTTGACTTTGGCCTTGTGAGACACTATGCAGAGTTCATAACTGGGACTACCTAGACTTCTGACCTATAGCACTGTGGGGTAATAAATGTGTGCAGATTTAAGCTATTAACTTTGTTATCTGTTATAACACCACTAAAAGTAATGTGACTTCCCAAGGTAAATTTCAAGAATTTGTTATTGGTCAACATCACCCCATGCTTGGCAAGGACTTTTGGCTTCCCTCGCTCCTATTGCCACTGAAACTACTCAGTCATTTTGAAGGCAATGTTCAGGTTGCAATACTGGGCTTTGCTGCATTTGAGCCTCCATTGTAAACAAACTGTAAATGGGCAACATGCATGTTTTGAATTACCAGGAAACACTAATTCTATTTTTAAGAGAATCTCATTGTAATCTCACATTTTAAAAATTATAATATGCAAAGAATTAACCAAACACCCTACAGTGCTACAGAAGATAAAGCAAGAATATATAGGGCAGAGTGAAGGGAGTGCTGTGCATGTGTACTGAAGTGATTAAGTCTCCTGATGGAGGCTGTGCTGAGTTGTAACCTCATTTAAGAGGAAGTGGGGATCTCAAGGTTAAGAGAAGGAAAGCTTCCATTGGAAGCAAGTTCAAAGACCTGGAGACAGGAGGGGCCTGACATTTTCAAAGGTTAGCAAGGTCAATGGATTGGGAGCAGAGTGAACAATGAAAGAAGAAAGGTGCATAAATAAGCCCAAGAAGCAGGCAGGCCCAAATCACACAGGGCTTTGGAAGTTTGGTTGGAATTTAGGCTTTGTAGATCCTCATTAGGCATTTGTATTTTATTATTGTTTCAATGATTTTCCATCATTTTTTTGCTGAAAAAAATACTTTTAAAATAGATTAATGTCAAAATCAAGCTGATAAAACAGTGCAATAAATTAATGCTGTGCTGTGGCTTGTGTTTAGAGGTCCCCCCAAAACTTCATTTAGTCATAGGTGGGGCTTTTTCAGAGGTGGATGAACCTAGAGCGTATGATGCTGGAATTGATTCATGGTTCAATGCTAGGCTCAAGGGCATTAAGATTAAAAGTGTAAGTGCTACCTCCCTAAGTAGTCTGAATATGATAAAATGGGCAGAAAGATGCTGTGAAGGTCCCTTGCTTGCTTTGCTACCTTCTGGCTGCCATGAACAGTCTCTCCTCTGCCATGCTGATGCCCCTCTTCCACGTGCCACTCTCCTTTGGAGCCAGCCAATTGTAGACTGAAACCTCTACAAACTGTGGACTACATAAACCTTTCGTCCTTTAACTTTGGGTGTTGGGTATTTTGTCTCAGCAATGAGAAAAGTAACTAAGACACCCTGTCTTAATGTAATCACTGCACTTCTCACCACTCATTTCGTTTATTTGTGTTCCTGCCCACTTCTTCTACCCCTGTGAAGGAAATCCTAGATATTATAAAATGTCAGCCTTCATATTCCTATTTTAATATTTTGTTATCATGCCTAAAATGAACAAAAATTTTGGAAAACCATCAATGGCACTAGAGGGCTTTAAGGAGGAGAGTGAAATAGTCTGGTATTCTTGCTAGAAACCTCAACTCAAAATCCTGTGGAGGATGCACTGAGTCCAGGTGGCAAAGGCAGAGGATGGATGACAAGGTGGGCAATTGTGTAGCTTTGGAAGTCACACATGGTTGTGATTGGCAAAGATACTAGTGGTGGATGGCTATGCCTGGAAATGTAAAAGAGGAATTAAAATGACTCCTAGGGATTTGGTGTGAGTGACCAGAGAAATGATCATGACATCGAGAGCTGAGAAAAGATGATTTGAGAGGATATACATCAATAATGTGCAATCTAACAATCAAGAATTTTCTACAAGTGTGAAGCACATTCTTACCTTTCGTCATCACTCCCACCATCTCGCATGCCATCATGCCATGAGTTTCTCCTTGGCAGTCAAAGCCAACCTCAAGTGCTTTCTTTTCTGTGAGCCCTTCTAGATTCTCTGTTTACCATTTTATGCTTTTCTATCTATACATAATGAAAATAAACATTTTAGTAACATGCGTGTGGTTAAAATTCTTAAGTCATGATAAAAGACTTCCTTCAAAAAACAAGTCCATCAATCTGTATCCTGCTCTGCCAAACATTAGCTCTCTTTGTGGGAAAGTTGATCCAACTTTCTGAGAATTATTTATCTTAGCTACAAAATGACATCAATTTTAGCTACTTTCCTATGTGGCTGGATGTTATAGATTTAATTAATGCAAGGCTTTTTCATACCTAGTTAGCGCTAGTTAAAGATGATGAGTTTTTGCTGTTTTCTGTCATTGCTGTAGTTATTATCATTATTGTTATGTATCATTCTCACCAAAGTGGAGAGTCTTATTGCATTCAACTGGGTTTGCACCATTTGGGCTGAACCATGAGGTGAAATAGGAGGTGAAGATAGTACTCATGGAGACAAAGCACCCAGCTCTATAATGCCTGGTGAATGTGTCTGAAATGATACTAGATAAAAGGCCTGAACTTAATCCACTTTAGGTCTGAATTAGCCAAGAGCAGGCACCAATTGTGGCCACGAATGACTATGTTGGTCTAATTAGTGTACACAGCCTTACACTCCTCCAATACACATTCATATCTATGCATGCCCCATACACTTGCAAAGTGGAAGCATATTTGCCCTATCTTTTCAGTCCTTGAAGTTTCTTTGTGTATCATTTAAAAGTTGAAGAGAAAACTCAGGATTCTATTATGCAGAAATTTTACCAGGGCCACTCATAAATCCCAATTAGGCAGCTTGTAGCAGAGCCTCCAGAGAGAGCATATTTTCTGTTTGTTCCCAGCATCTCATTAATGACATGGTTTCACAATGGGTTACAGGTGCAAGTGATGTCTCCACATGATAGTCAGCCGATGGGAAGAGAGTGGAGTCACAGATTATTATTTTCTCTGCTGCAAAGTTACATAAAGACCAACATGAGGCTGGGGTAGGAGGCAGAGGTGTCAGTTCACTACACTTCTCTCAGTATTGACTGAACACAGACAGACCTGAATTTGAATGTAGCTTCTCATGTTGACTAATCTAGAACTTTGGCAATGCCCCTAAACCTCTTCAAGTTTCCAAAGTTTTCTTTAATGCAACAAATAATGAAAGATAATGCATTAGAAAACTGTAGGTAAGATGCATAGGCCAGCGCCTAGAAAAAATAAATATATATATATTATATAT